CAAATGCCACTATAATGCTTTTGAATGTTGCACCATCGATTAATGCCACCTACAATATCCTTGGACTTGTGAAACTGAAGAATACTAACAGAGTCTCATGAGGAAAGGGAAACATTCACTTTATTTAAGAAACATCTCACTGCGACTTTGCTGCAAGAGTGAATATGATCATGTGACACTGAATTGCTTCCCCAGTGATGTATTCTGTGTCTCATTAGCATATCGCACAATCAGACTTAATCCTTTTACAATCTTCTCCACATTTTTGATTCTACTCTACCCATTACATGTCTTCCTAAGTCTTGACTTCAGTTTCTTTTTTTACAGGGACAACCACTGTGGCAGTTTCACTAGTCTGCCTGAACATGTTTTTAACGGCTTTGGAGGAGATTGGGAGTTCAGATCTTATGTGTGAAGTGTCTCAGGCTTTGCTGGGCAGAAGCAAAATTGATTGATAACTCCACTTCAGAAATCAGGCTGTCATCTGGATCTCTCAATGAACACAGCATCTCTACTTCATTTGGCTTTCTTGACCATTGGTTAGACTGTGTAGAAGGTTGCTCCTGTTTGGAAACAAGAGCACGTCTGTTTCATTGTGTTTAAATAGAGGAAGATCATGGGTGTGGTGTCTGTTCCACCTCTTGTCCTCAGAAGACATGGTCTCAAATCCACACTGGTTCTCTTGATTGGTGGTCTTGTAGGTTGGGCGTTTTGTGACACTGGTCACATCTGACTGGAATGGTACTCAATCTCTTTTCTTTCCTCACCTTGTCCAAGTCATCAGGTTGAACATGTGGCATCAGTGTATGTGGGACAGTAGGGAGTGGAGTTCTCAGTTTTCTTCCCATGTGGAGCCAAATGATTCCGGAGTAGGGTAGAATGGTATCTCAGGTATCTTATATTAGTTGTTGTCATTCATCATCAGCAATGCTTTCACTGTACATTCCTATTTCAGCTTCAGCATTGGCGGGCTAATAGCGCAGATGAATCAACCTGATATTGTGAACTCATCAGCAAACTGTGCAGCATTATCTCAGGTTAAAAAGTTTGGGAATCCACATGTTACAAAAGTCGTCTTTGATGATGTAGAGTCACGATAGTGCTATTGGAACATAAGGCTGCTTTCTCATTAGAGAGAGGGCAATGGTGGTGGTTTAACCTGAGGGTCACCACACCTCAGGCAAGGGGAAAGGCTGAGAAGACGTTCACTGCTTGACTTCTATCCATCTGAAATCGTACTTTATTACTATCAAGAACACCTTGTCTCTGTGTTCAAAGAGGTCCACCCCAAGATGTTCCTAAGCTCTTGATGGAAATGGAGATGACACCAATGGTTCTTGTGCCTCCTAATGATGAGTGGCACAAGTAATAAACCCTGATATGATTGTTTCCAATGTTTCTGGAAGATGTGGCCACCAGACATCCCCAAATTTCATTGGAATAATCATTGCAAACAGTCAATACTAATGGCATCGAGGGATATAGGGAAAGCAGTGTTGAGTTAGGTCTAGAATGGTGGACTTGGTTCAAGGAGTTGAATGGCCAACTCCTCCTGTTATGTTCCTATGTTTCTGCATTGTGTCTTAGGTTTCTCAGAATGGCCAATCTTTCATCATAAATGTACAAATCATCCACTCCATTGATGTGTTCTCTCTGATCATAGCGCTGACTCAGAATGGGATTGTGTGGCTTGTGTACTGGCCATCATTTGGCACAGAACCCTCCGACAGAAGTACATTCTTCAGATTTCTGTACATCTCTGATTTCATTCAATCACTGATTTCTTGCTGGAGGAGTGTGTTTTTTTAAAATGATGTACAGGTTTCCATTTCTTCAACAAAAACAACATCTTGTTCAGACCTTGCTAGAGGGATATAGTACAAAGCATCTGCTGTAATCTGTTGCTTTCCTGAAACATATACCATCTTTGCATCAAACTCCATCATCTTCAGTCTGATGCTTATACTTGGAGGCACTTTTGTCAACTCCTTAGAATTTAATAGCATCTATAAAAGTTTGTGACTATATATAAATGAAAGATGGTAGATACTTTGAACTCTCTTCTACAAATGGCAGGGGATGCTGGGTCAGTTGTTAATTTAAAACTTGAGATAGTTTTTTTTTGTTAAGCAAAGGTATTAATGGATATGGGCCAAAGGCAGGCATATGGAGTTAGGCCACAGATCAGCCATGATCTCATTGAATGATGGAACAGACTCAAAGGGCTGAATAGCCTACTCCTGTTCCCACGTTCTGTCTGCATTGTAAAGATGAAGAACACAGTTCGCAAACATTTCACAAGCCCATGTAACAGCTGATGTGTTTTTTTCTATTACTGCACATTTCTGTTCAGCCTTTGTTTCCCTTTGCAAAATAAATTGGTCTGTGTTTCACATCAATCTTTATTTGAAAGAATATAGCCTTCAGTCCTGCAGAGGGACTGTAACTGCAACCAGGATGGTGGGTAGCTCTAAAAAACAGGGGTTATAAATGCCTTTTTCCTTTTCTTGAAAGATATTCTTCCTCACAATGATGACCACTAGCTAGGAAACATTCTGTATATGTACTTGTAAGATGTATATAGATTCTGATAAATCCATCAGGTTTTGGTACTGGGATCATTTTCAAGCACCATGGAGTCATAGAGTTATTGAAACAGCATGGAAACAGACTCTTTGGTCCAACTAGTCCATGCTGACCATGTTCCCAAACTAAACTAGTGCCACTTGCCTACTTTTGGTTCTTATCCCTCCAAATCTTCCTTATTCACGTACATGTCTGAAAGGCTTGTTAGCTCAGTCACAGGTAAAATAATACCTTGCTTCAAGATTAAGTCAATTTACTTCTTTACCTTTGGCAGAAGTGGATGTGGGATTTATTGAGGGCAAGCAGATACACTGACTTCATTTCAAGACGTGATGTGGAATTCTGTCTCCATTTTTCTGAACAGCTGTGGAAATCTAGCTCCAAAGATGTAAGGCTGATTTTCTTGGCTTGTCATTTCTTCTATTTTGCAAATCAGATACAAGCCAGTACAGGCTTTCATACTTAAGAGTTAACAACTCTGGTTTAGGGTTTGAGGTTTCGGATACATGGAACCTTATATCACATGTAAATTTCCCTCACTACATTGAAGGGCTGCATTCAGTTGTCCTATTACTTTGAGTTCTATACCTCCCAGCCCATGAAGTTTGATTCTTGACGGCTCAAGGAAACATTTTTCCAAACGTGGTTCACCATCAATATGAACCAAACTTACTGCATCTTAAAACATATCTTGTTTCCCTCCACTAGGATTTCAGTACTTCCATAACTTTTGCATGATTCCAGCATCTATTGGAAGACAGGCATTTCCTTCTCATTGACTTCCTCAATTTCTTGGATCTTGTCACTCTACGAAGGCTTCTCTTTTGTTTTATTTTCTACAAGCTTCTTGCTGCAAAACACAGCCAGGAAGTGACTTTTTTTGCAAGAATTTTGGGTGGTTAATGGAGACTCTTCCTGCCTCCCCTGCTTTTGTACAGCCATCTCTTTGCTTTACACTTTCACACATATCTGAGTCAATCGTTTTTCTGATACAGTTTGCTCTGAGGCTGACAGGGTGGCTCAGTGGTTAGCACTGCTGCCTCACAGCACCAGGGTTCAATTCCACCCTTGGATGACTGTCTGTGTGGAGTTTGCACATTCTCCCCGTGTCTGTGTGGGTTTCCTCTGGATGCTCCAGTTTCCTCCCACAGTCCAAAGATGTTCAGGTTAGGTGGATTGGACATGCTGAATTGCCCATAGTGTCCAGGGATGTGCAGACTATGTGGGTTAGCCACAGGAAATGCTGAGTTACAGGGATAGGTTGGGGTGGGATGCTCTTTGAAGGATTGGTGTGCATTTGATCGCCCCAATGGCCTGCTTCCACAGGGATTCTATGACTTCCCAAAACACTGACTAATTTTGTTTTCTGTGCTCAGCTTCCCTACTCAGCTGTTAATGTTAAGGCAAGAGATTAGACATTACTACATTGAAGACTCCAATGACAATTTTCTCTCTGATTAGTTCATCTGCAGTAGACTAGAATTCTGTAAAGATCATTGATAAAAAATATTAATATTTCCCATTGTCGTGCACTTATTAAATTCAGTTTGCTCAATAATGATATTTTTCACAGATCCAAGTAGGTAATCCTTTTAATTTCTTCCTCATACATAGTTTTCTCTCAGTCAATTCATTACCTGGCTAGGTTACAATTTACACGACCATTCATTGCATTCAGTAGTGTACTGGCTCCTCAATGTTTGATTTTGCAATGAGACCCAACACAGAGTGATATCTGGCAAAATCTTTGGCACCAATTCAGCCATATCTCTGTTAGTTTGGTTCAGTGACCTGATCAAAGGTTTCTAGCAATGGTGGAGACTTTGACACTTTGTCTTTCACTAACTGCCACCATTTAATCTTTTGGGGCTCACTGAACTGCTAAAGAATATTTACAGTGTTTGCTGAGGCAGGGGAAGCATTAATAACATTCAAGAAACCTGTTGCTGTCGCTTCATCTTGCCACGAGGCTGCAAGAGGGAGCGAGATTTGTGACATTGCATCACTTCCTGTGAGTATGTATTCTGTGCCCCATTAGCATATTGCACAGTCAGATGTAACTGCTTCTACCCTAGCACACCCACTTTAATAACATGATAATATCAGTCTAATGTTAATTAAAGATGAAGTGAGAGAAGGGAGTCTTTGTGAAGTGAAGGTACTGCCCTTTCACACATGCAGGATCCTTAATACATTCAGAGATAGTAAGAACTGCCGATGCTGGAGTCAGAGATAACACAGGGTGGAGCTGGATGAACACAGCAGGCCAGGCAGCATCAGAGGAGCAGGAAAGCTGACGTCTCAGGTCAGGATTTTTTTCTGAAGAAGGGTCTAGGCCTGAAACATCAGCTTTCCAGCTCCTCTGATGCTGCTTGGCCTGCTGTGTCCATCCAGCTCTACATCTTGTTATCTCAGACTCTCCAGCATCTGCAGTTCCTACTATCTCCTTAATACATGTTTGGTTCTATCTGCATCAAAATATCATTACAACTATCAGACATTCTCTCTCCCACCCCTCCACTAACATCCAGTTCTCCAATCTCTTTTCCCTTCCTTCTAACAAGGCAGTATCACATACGGTATAGTTGTGCAGCTTGATATTCTAATTTTTTTTTAAAACAGTACTTTAACTCTCTATTGGTTACACACACACACAATTTATCTTGACACATCACAACAAAAAAACGGAAAGAGGAGTGAATGGAAGCTGAATGTTGCCTAGAAGTTGTATCGTGAGACAAAGATGATGACCTTGGAGATGTACTTCGTCAGGACCGTTTTGCCAGACAGTTCCGTCATCTCCATTTCGACCTCCAAGGTGGCGGGGCCCTGGATAGGCTGCACCAGCACCAGCTCCCCTGTTTGCCTGTCTGAGCGCTGGATGGAGAAATGGTTCTGCCCATTGCCCCCTACAATGCTGAAGCGCATGGTGTCGCCAGTGAATCGGCTGCTTGTCATTCGGAACAGGGTCCTTGGGGTTCGTAGGTTAGATGTTAAGGTCAGGTAGTGAAAGGTAATGGAGTATGCAGCATTCGCACACAACTTGTTTTCCACCAGGCACGGGTTTCTCTCACATTTACTGGAACGAAAATGATAAAAAAAATTGTAAGAATTAGGAACAAAGAAAAGCTTTAACGTTTCAGGTGTGTATTCTGTATGTATGCATCAGAAGGTTGGGCTGACAGCACCTTCCATGTGCTACTGCTACCCCATGGGCCTACGCTGCAGCATTGAAAGGTTGGGAACCATGCAGAGGGATAGCCAGGAAACATTACCATTCTAAAACCAATTCAGATTTCATTGAATCACCAAACTGTTATGGCACAGAAGGCCCTCTCAGAGTGACCCTCATGACCTAGTGCCGTTCTCCCAAACTTTCCACATAATGTTGCTCCTTATTTCTAAAGAAATAATTATCAGATATCTTCTTGATTGAAGCTGCCTCCACCACTCTTCCAGGCAGACCATTCCAAACCTGAACCATTCGCTGTGCGATTAAATTGTTTCTCATTGCATTTACTGTTTTGGCAAATTACTGAATCTGTGACCTCTCATCCCGATCCTCAGGAAGAATTTCTCCTTGTCTACTTTGTCCAGGCCTCTCATGATTTTGAAAACTTCAATCAAATCTCCTCGTAGGTTTCTTCTCTCTGTGGAAAATGGTCTCAACTTTTCCTATCTACCTGCATAACTGATGATTCTCATCCTTGAAATCATTCTCCAATGAGTTCATATCCTCCTTAAAATGTGGTGACCAGAACTGTACATGATATTCAAACTGATGTGTAACTAATGGATTATACAGGTTCAGCATAAACCCCTTGCTCCTGTACTCCAATATACTGTGCGCTTTATTAACTACTCTCTCCACCTGTCCTACAACCTTTGCTGACTTACACTCACATTCACCCAGGTTCCTTTGCTCCTACACACCCTTTAGATTATATCCCTTACGTTCTACTGTCTCTCCATATTCTTTCTATTAAAATGTATCTCCTCACTTATCAGCATTGAGCCTCAGCTGCCAATGTCCATCTGAAATTCTGCACAGTCCACCTCACAGTATATGGTGCTTCTAAGTTTGTTTGGTCCACGCACTTTGAAATTTCTGGCAAAGAGATATTGGAAGTTACTGAAAGAGCTAGCAGTAATCTGCATTAAAAGCTCAGATGAAAGCCTCTGTGGTTATTCTAGTATCTGTGGCTGGTAATTAAATATAAGGCCCGGTGTATTCAAGCTGTCAGTTTTAGTATCGTGTTGAGATTCTGTCTGCATCATGTTTCAGCTTAAACTGCACTCTGGGGATAAATACAGAGATGTTTGCTTGATAATTATGGATGTAATAAGTTACTTGACTCCTCTCTCTCTTTCTACTCCTCCCACCCACCCTCTTGTTAGTACCCAACTGGGGCTCAAATGATTCAGGCACTCTGCCTCCACTGGTTTCCGTGTCTCTCTTTCCCTATATTGCAGATACAAGGCATCGGTCAAGTGTATCCTCACTTAAATATGTCCTCATGTCCAGTCTTGGTCACTGAAAGACAATACTCAGATTCTAGGTGCAGGGCTGGATGAACACAGCAGGCCAAGCAGCATCAGAGGAGCAGAGAGGCTGACGTTTCGGGCCTAGACCCTTCATCAGAAAAGGGGGAGGGGAATGGGGTTTTGAAATAAATAGGGAGAGAGTGGGAGGCGGATAGAAGAGGGATAGAGGAGAGGATAGGTGGAGAGGAAACAAACAGGTCGAAGAGGCGGGGATGGGGCCAGGAAAGGTGAGTGTAGGTAGGGAGTTAGGAAGGGGATAGGTCAGTCCAGGGAGGACGGACAGGTCAAGGGGGCGGGATGAGGTTGGTCGGTAGGAGATGGAGGTGCGGCTTGAGGTGGGAGGAGGGGATAGGTGGGAGGAAGAACAGGTTAGGGAGGCAGGGACGAGCTGGACTGGTTTTGGGATGCGGTGGGGGGAGGGGAGATTTTGAAACTTGTGAAATCCACATTGATACCATTGGGCTGCAGGGTTCCCAAGCGGAATATGAGTTGCTGTTCCTGCAACCTTCGGGTGGCATCGTTGTGGCACTGCAGGAGGCCCAGGATGGACATGTCGTCTGAGGAATGGGAGGGGGAGTTGAAATGGTTCGCGACTGGGAGGTGCAGTTGTTTGTTGCGAACCGAGCGTAAGTGTTCTGCAAAGCGGTCCCCGAGTCTCCGCTTGGTTTCCCCGATGTAGAGGAAGCCACACCGGGTACAGCGGATGCAGTATACCACATTGGCAGATGTGCAGGTGAACATCTGCTTGATGTGGAAAGTCTTCTTGGGGCCTGGGATGGGGGTGAGGGAGGAGGTATGGGGGCAGGTGTAGCACTTCCTGCGGTTGCAGGGAAAAGTGCCGGGTGTGGTGGAGCTGGAGGGGAGTGTGGAGCGGACAAGGGAGTCACGGAGAGAGTTGTCCCTCCGGAAAGCAGATAAAGGTGGGGAGGGAAAGATGTCTTTGGTGGTGGGGTCGGATTGCAGATGGCGGAAGTGTCGGAGGATGATGCGTTGGATCCGGAGGTTGGTGGGGTGGTACGTGAGGACGAGGGGGATTCTTTTTTGGTTTTTATTGCGTGGACGGGGTGTGAGGGATGAGGTGCGGGAGATGTGGGAGACACGGTTGAGGGCGTTCTCGACCACCGAGGAGGGGAAGTTACGGTCCTTGAAAAACGAGGACAACTGAGATGTACGGGAGTGGAATGCCTCATCCTGGGAGCAGATGCGGCGGAGGCGAAGGAATTGGGAATAGGGGATAGCATTTTTGCAGGAAGGTGGGTGGGAGGAGGAGTATTCTAGGTAGCTGTGGGAGTCGGTGGGCTTGAAATGAATATCGGTTTCGAGGTGGTTGCCCGATATGGAGACAGAGAGGTCCAGGAAGGGGAGAGAGGTGTTAGAGATGGTCCAGGTAAACTTAAGGTTGGGGTGGAAGGTGTTAGTGAAGTGTATGAACTGTTCGAGCTCCTCGTGGGAGCACGAGGCGGCGCCGATACAGTCATCAATGTAACGGAGGAAGAGGTGGGGTTTAGGGCCGGTGTAGGTACGGAAGAGGGATTGTTCCACGTAACCTACAAAGAGGCAGGCGTAGCTTGGGCCCATGCGGGTACCCATGGCTACCCCCTTTGTCTGTAGGAAGTGGGAGGAATTGAAAGAGAAGTTGTTGAG